AATGAGATCTTACAAACTCTCTTGTCAGCTTGTTAGTATTTTCTTGTTTTACCAGCATTTTCTCTTGTCCCTCCTTAAGCTGTTGGAGGCGATGAGTTCCTGATTTGAGCAAAACATCAATGTCTTGCAATACTTCTGTTTCAGCATGTGTCAATGGCCTGTGTTCACCTGGCATCCAAAATCGAAGAAGCACCAAGACGCATAAGGGACGTAATTAATGTGTTCCATCGCCTTAGACATCTACGGGAAAAAAAGTAAGCTTGGACTTTGAAATAATCTGAAATACTCATGTTGTATTTTAATAACTAAACTTCACGGACCGATGATAGTATCATTCCCTGTTTCACAAATCAGGGAACATCTTGAAGAGATCTCATGAAGGACAAAAGTGAGTTGGCCCCTTTTATTAAGTAAATATTTTGGTGTTACAAGTAGTGATGTCTTACTTCTGCACAAACACAATTTTAACCTTCATGCGAGGGTTAAGGTTACCTTCTTCAGAACCTGAAATTGTCTTGCAGAAAACCTGTGCCTCTAATACTGGATCAAGAATATGTGAACTTGAAGAATCAAATTATCAAGGCAGAAAGAAGAGTGTTAAAGGAGTTGGGATTTTGTGTTCATGTGAAGCACCCTCATAAGGTTTGTTCTTCTAAGTTAACTTTATAACCAGTGTTTCGTGTACTATAAATGCTTTGAGTAGACTGCTTAACCGTGTGGCAGCTGTCTCGTCTGTACATGATGACGCTAGGTAATTCGGTAAAGCTCTAGATGATCCCCATGTCTTTTCTCATGTAAGAGATGCTTACTGGTAGGCCTTGGGTCATTGCTGAATGACGACTGGAGGTGGATGCAGATGCTAAGTATTCCTTGAAGTCAAATTATATAAGTAGGTAGCTTTGGTGTTGGAAAATGTCAACTAAACATAGATTATTAACCAGAAAAGAATTTTGAGGCCTCGGATTGTGATATCCCATTCTCAGAAACACTGCACATCACTCATGGAAACATGCAGAGGTGGTTAAACCCATGAGAGCTAGTTGGTAGTGTTTCTTATGTTCTAAAAAGTACACTGAGGTGTGAAGGGTGTGACTAGAAATGAGACAGTTCTCAATATCTTAAGTATCGCCTGTCAGGCGAGGATGCTACTTGGAGGATATAACTACTGCAGGTGTTTAAGTAGGTGCTTTAGCATTATGCCTTATGTAGCTGAGCGTGGTGAAAGAAACTCCTACTTCTGTGCCAGCAGAACTTGGGATCTTGCGCATTCTTCCGCAAAAAACTACTGCTGTTTTAAGGTCTTTTTAAGCCTACTTGACTTTCAGAATCCCCTCATGTTACCAGTACCCCAGAGGACAGTGGTACTTGTTTGTTAACTGATAGGAATTTTTGCTGTTAGCCATTTTACCTGCATCCTTGTTTTCCTTTGGAACCCAAGAGAAAAGACTAGGACTGAGTAAACCAGCGACACACAACCCGAGATCTGTTCTCTGCATCCTGCTGATGGCAGCTAGCAGTCTTTTCTCCGAAGTTACAGCCAAAAAGGAATCATGACTTGTGTAGGAGAGCATCCCTAGCTTGAAGGCAGTGGAAGACAAGCCACCTAGATGAATAGCATGGTAACTGAGCTCAGAAGATGGCGAGCTGGGAAGTGCCAGCTCGTGCAGACTTTTGCATTGGAGAGCAGAAACTGTGTGGGTCAACACTGGGGGTGTTGCAGACACTCATGTGGAGTGTTTGAGCTTCAGAGATAATAACAGATGCCTCATGGATGTCCCTCTGAAATAAATCGGTGGCTCTCAAGATTCTTGTTAATAACTCAATAACCCATATCTTCCAGATAATCGTTATGTACCTTCAGGTATTAGAATGTGAACGTAACCAACACCTGGTCCAGACTTCATGGTAAGTTGATTTTCTTTGCTATAAGAGACCAGCAGGGGCAGTAGCAGAAATATGTCGCTTGAGGCACTCTGGGCAGCATTGCTCAGAAATGATTGGGGGCCATACCAGACAGCTCCAGTGCTTCTTGGCCTGCCCCAAAACTACTACCAAATGTTGATCGGCCTCTTAAGTTAGAGGCACTGTTTTAATGGTAAGGTAGCTTTCCACCCTGACTTCTCACTTCCCTCCTCTCTGCTTCCACTTTACAGCTGAAGGGAAAATGTTGAGTGGGTTATAGTGTTTCCTTGTTTTTTTATAACTGTGTAGTTTGTTTTACCAGTGCTGGGAAATGGCTTTTCCCAGGGCTTGAGCTTGATTACAGGTGTATCAAAAACTCTGCACAGATAAATTTTTTTTATCTGTATGGATAATGCAAGATGTTGGCTTCTAAGACTGGATAAACTCAGTGTTTTTGTGTTTGCCAAGAAACGTCCTCTGCCTTGTCGCTCTCAGTACAGTAAAGATTGGTTTGGGGATGAGAAGCTTTTGTAAAATTCCAGGTCACAAACTTAACAAAACCCGATAATGCGCTCTAAACAATAATGCTCTTTAACACTACTGTGGTTTAAAAACCCTTAGTGAATCCAAAGATCATATTTCTGCTGACTGAACTGTCTGGTACTGTGACCTGTGTGTAGAGAACCAATTTTGACTTTTCTTTTCTGTACTCTTTTAATCAAAGGGTAGCCTCTGAGGGTAAGTGACTAAGACTTCTCCTCTGCTGCCCAAGCGCTATGGTGCAGGGATAGCTGCCGTCTTCAGTCAAACCAAAGCTCTACAAAGAGAAGGCTGGCTCTAGACAGGTGGTATATACGTGATAGTATAGTAACTGGCCAACTGCTTCTTGTGCTTATACTTTTTCACTTATTTTTACTGTGCCTTTTGACTGTTGTGTATTTTATAACCTGATGGGTGAAATTCTGAAAGGTTTTTAATGCTGTATTTCGATAATTGTTGAAGTGATGTATTCTTAAGAAAGCAAATTAAGGTGGGATTTAAGTCTTAAAGGGATGGATTAGCAACAACAAAAACTGTTTCTGTTTGTAAACTAGGGAGAAAACATTTGAGTAGATGTGTGAAGCTTGGAGTTAAATGTAATACTTAGGAGAGAGACTTCCCACTACCAGATTTTCTAGTACGATTGCATGAAGTACTCATGTGAGTTATGGACTGCTCGTTACCAGTTTTCTACTTGTCATGGAAGGAGGGGTGGGTGAGGAGGAGTGAGGAAATTACCCCAGTTGAGAAATGTTTCAGATGTTAAAATAACCTATTTGTATACTGATGTTTGTTTGTTTCCAGTACCTGGACACTGGTGGATATCCAGTATAATTGTTTCTTGAAATACACATTTTTACAATATTGCCTTTTTTTTTTTTAAATATTGCGATAAGGATTCGTTTCCTCCTGTGTCTGATTCTGAGCCCACAAGGAAGATCTGCAGAGGGCAGACTTGGAAGCAGGCATATTTTTCAATATGGCAAATGAGAAAAAGGCTTTAAGTATTCCAGATGTTTGAAGTACTACTTTTCTTTATTGCTTCTTTTGGCAAAAGGTTTGTGCTGTCTTTGTAGTGGGACAAGAAAAGTAGGTTTTGAAGTTCCTTTCTCCCAGAAGAATGAGCTGTTCAGCATTTCTTCTGTGGGGTAGCAGTTAGTTGCTCTTCATGTAAACAAGGATGTAAGACAGGTGGGGCAGGTGAGGGTTTGACACTGTTGGGATTTAAGTTCCTTTTGTCCTGTTTACCAGTTTAAACTGGTTACAAGTGTCTGGATTGTGGTCTCAGATTTGGATGTCTTGGGGGCTAGTGAATCCTTGTATACTGGGTATCCACATGGTTAATGGCTACTTTCAGAAAACATATTATTTTGAGGACTTTCTATTGTGTCTGGCTTTAGCTTTGCCCCATCTGATGCTTTGCTTGACATGTGCTCAAAGATCTAGGGGTTTTTTTTTTAAGCACAGCAGCTGACAGGTTCAGAGGAAGTTACTTTGTGTATTTAAGACTTAGAAGAATAATGCTTAAGTGTACTGACTAGATTATATGCAATATTTTACAGTTTTCTCATTCTGTGAATATTCATTTTAAGCAACCTTACTGAAATGGGACAATTTGGAAACCATATTTCATGTGCCAAAGAGGAGATCTGCCTGAATACTGAGTATTCTCCTGAACTGATGTCCCCAAACACCCTGATTTCTTCTGTGGCTGTTTTTTGCATCAAAAAGGATTCTGTTCCAAATGGAAAATAGTGCTTCCGAAGGAATCAAAGGAATCTCCAGTGGAAGTTGATGTGGACTACATTGTCATGGGAAAACTACTCGCTACAGGAGCTGCAGCTTTGGGCAAACTCCCTGGGTTCAACCTTATTGCAGAGAAACATACGAATCTAAAAATCTATAACTGAGTACTCCAGATTATATTGTATATTGTCTTAACAAAAATAAGTTGCCTATTGCATGAGAGCAGGCCAGCAGAGATCCAGCAGGAAAAGTGAAGTTAAAATTGGTTCTCGTTTCACAACTGAATTTTCAGCAGCCAGTCAGTCAAACGTAGTTTCTGTCACACTCATCCCTCCCCTTGAGGGATGTATTTATTTATTTATTTAGAGTAAAATAATTCAACTTTTCTTTAGATTTACAGGATTATAGTGTTGAAGTCTAGTAACTGAATTTAGAAGAAATAGTCTTTGTAGAAATAAAAAGAAACCCCCAAACACCCCAGAAACCAACTTTGCAGTGCCACAAAATTTTACTGATATCCTGTCTTTCAGGAATTACATGAATGATAGCCTGAGAACAGATGTGTTTGTAAGATTCCAGCCAGAAAGCATTGCCTGTGCATGTATTTACCTTGCAGCTAGGACACTGGAGGTGAGCATATGGTTCCATTAGCTTCAGGTTTGTTAGGCCTTCTGGTAGAAGCAGAAAACTGAGCATGTTTTCCCCTCCCTTTCAGATTCCACTTCCTAATCGTCCACACTGGTTTTTACTCTTTGGAACAACAGAGGAGGAAATTCAAGAAATTTGCTTAAAAATTTTGCAACTCTATACTCGGAAAAAGGTTTGCTGCTTTTTCATACTGTGAGCTTTCCTTAAAGGCTGCAGCTTAGAACGTGAGTGAACCTTACCCCGTTTGAAAATTAGCTGCCAGCCTTGTATGTGAAATGGAACAGAGTAGTAGTCACAGTGTCTGGGACTCCTTAGGTTTCCTCCTACCCCATAAGTAAGCGAGCAGGAGGTAGCTACAAAGTTTTGTCCTAACAGGTGCTTTTGTGTTCACAGATTGAGATATCTGACCTGGAAAGTAAAGTAGAAAAGAAGAAATTGGCTATTGAAGAGGCAAAAGCACAAGCGAAAGGTCTAGTACCGGAGGGAGCCCCAAGTTTAGACAACATATCAGGATTTTCCCCTATCCCAAAAAATGGTTAGTAACTTGTTTATAGTATCTCCTTCTCATCTTACATGTGTGTTTACCCTTTTGAGGCACATATACAGTGCAGTTTGTTTGGTGTTTTGGTAGTGCGTGGTGGGTTTTGTTTTGTTTTCAGCTGGCAGAGTTTGAAGAGTTTGTAGCTGTAATTTCTTGAAACAACAGATAAAGGCTAAAATCCAACTATGTTAAAGTGAAGGCTAGTTTAAACTTTGGCAGTGCAAGGGCTTGCTTTGATGTGGCTTTGGCGATAAACTGGAGCAAATACTTGCAGTTGGCCAATTATGGTAAAGCCATATTAAAGCATAGATATGATTAGGAGCTCTGGCAGAAAGTAGTATTTTTTTTGGTGACAGTTAGGGAATATTTTCCTGGTTATTTGGTGTAAAGTTTCCAGTCTGGTGCATGTTTTGCCTAGAAGATAATGTTTACCATCTTCCTCCTTAGTTTCTCTTTAAAAAGATAGTGAGTAACTGGCGAGAAATGAAGTTGCTGTTCTGCCTTGAAGTGGCTGTGGGAGTCGTGTTGTTAGTGCAGTTAACGCTGTGGTGTTAGTTCAGTTCAGATCTACCTCTTGTGGGTGGGTGGTTGTGTGTGCACGTCTATGCCAACTACATGTATGCGGTACTGACTTACAGAGATGATGAAACGGGGTGAGGGGAGGCTTTAGTCATTCTTTCAGTCACTACCGGTCCTTTCTCAATAAGGTAACAGAGGATTGTTTTTCTAGAGTCTCCAAAAGAGGTTAAAGGCAACAAACCTTCCCCACTACCTGTTCAGGCAATGAAGAATGCAAAAAGGAAAATGGAGGGAGCAAAACGGACAAGTTCAAATAGTCCAGTGAACGGGTAAGGCTTTTGTAGTGAAGAAGCTTATTTTTTCCCTTTACTACTTCAAGAAGAATAACTGTTTATTGTCTCTTGCAGTGTTCAGAAAGGAAGAGAAAGCAGAAGTCGAAGTGGAAGTAGAGATCAGAGTTACTCAAGATCACCGTCCAGGTCTCCATCCCCTAAGCACAGGTAGGTACTGTTGTAAAAGAAAGGGCGTGCTGTGAGAAACTCCCAGACCAAAATTAAACAGAGTGAGCTTTGGTGGTTTCTCAGCCAGAGTTAAAGCTCCAGAAATGTTACAGCGAAGAGTTGTGCTGTCTTGGCTCACAAGTCGAGGGAGTTGCAGTGTCTGACCTGTCATACCTGTGCTGAATAGATGGAGCGTGTAAGCGTATTGGGACATTTTCGAATATGGGTCTGTTTATTGGTGACGTGTGGCCCACCAAGCAGCAGGGTTGTTTGTGTTGGGTTTTTTTAATATTCAAAGCTGGGTGGTTTTGGTTAAAACCTTTGTTTATACTGAACTGGGCTGGAGTAGTTAAAGCATTTTCTGCAGTAGATTAACTCAACTCCAGCCTTAGTCTCGCTGGTCGTTGCTCCTGCAAAACCTTAACTTATGAAACAGAAAATGCTGCTGTTTTGTATGTAGCTGAGTAGCAGAGATTCATGCTACCTTACTCTAGCAGGGTATCCCATTGGGTTTGGGTGCGTACTGATAAAAGTATGGCTTTGTATTGATGTGGATCTGGAAAGGACCGCAGCTGAAATACGCTGATTAAAATTCTGCAGTGTTAAATTCTAAATGGCATTTTACTAATTTACATTGATATAATGAACATCTTTAAAATCTGCTTTCTGTACTGCCTCTGAGTTTGAAGTTCAGCATGTAACCATGGTACCCACAGAGGGGAAAGCTGAGACAGAAAGGAACATGAACTCCAAATTTGGGTGGCTTTGTGACGGTATAACTGAAGCAGAAGTAGTTTTACCTTTCATCTTATTGATGGCAGCACTTGGAATTCGGCCGTTCCTCTTCCCTATTACGCGTGTTTACTAAGTGTTGAAGGAAAAAATATAAAACTGATACAGGACTACGATGTTCCAAATGGGTTTGAGTTCCTAAAAATTGTTATATTTTACAGTAACAGGATGTGATCCATCTGGGACACAAGATTAGTTTTTATGGGATGCTGAACAACAGGATAGACTCAAGTGCCTGGTCTCTAACTGTGCTTGCACACCGTGGCTCTATAAGTGAGAAGCATTTGTCTGTGTGGCACTTAGTGTGTGTGTACGTGTTGTGACTACATTTAGACGCTAATAGTAATGTAGAGAAATTCTGTTTAATACTAAGAAAATCATGAGTTTTCTCTCTTTTTCTCATTCCATAGGAAGAGTGCAAGTTATTCCACTTCAAGCTGTTCTAAATCCCACAGCCGTTCTAGGAGCCGCAGTGACTCTCCTCCAAGACAATTCAACCATAGTTCTAGCTTCAAAGGCTCCAAGGTGAGAAGTTACAAGAAATCAAAAGACTACAAATACTCCACACACAAGCCACGGAAATCACGCAGCAGGAGTTCATCGCGTTCCAGGAGCCAATCCCGGGAGCGTTCCGACCATTCGGGGAAGTACAAGAAGAAAAGTCACTACTACAGGAATCACCGGCATGAGCGTTCGCGCTCCTACGAGCGAGCAAGTCATCGGTATGACCGAGACCATCCTGGCCACAGTAGGCATAGGCGATAAGTCAAGCAAAAACTTCTTTCCTTTGGAATTTAAGCAGTGGAGTTCCTTGTTTGGCCTTTGCAATATAGGATTAACCTGACTTGTAAACCACGTAGCTTGAGTAATGTCCATTCTGCTGGCAATTCTGTATTTACTGTCATGAATCCAAAGGATAGATACTAACAAGACAGGATGATGTCAAAGATTTAGACTGATAAATGTCTTGGTGACTGTTCTGCTGGAGTGTCATCTTATAACTGCAGAACTCGTCTCTGGATGCTCCTATGCCTGCTCTTTATTAATTTGCATACTGTAGTGCTGTGGAGTGTTATTTGGGACTTCCAGTTCTGCAGGCAGGGCCTTCATTGTTTAGTCATTGGAATACTGTGCTGAACAGTCCTTCCCTGTGGAACTAGAAAGCTCAAGACAGTTCATAAAAACTATTGGAGTGGCTTGGTGCTAACAAAGCTGTCTTTTCATACTGACTCAATTATCTTGTACAAATGTAAGGTGACTTTTTTTAGAACTGTTGCCTATATTAGGTTATATATGTGTATATATATTTTGCAGTGTTACAGTACAGTATGGGAGTATGGCCTTACTTAGCCTTTACACTTTACCCACAATGTAAATAAGCATTTGTTTAATGCAGGTGGAAGATATATACAGAAAATTCAAAACTTGAATTCTATCAAAAGACTTGTGTAGAAAATTCTGATAAATGTGAAAGTATTTAGCTCTGTGTATTGAGAGTAGTATATTTTTATCTGTGCTATGCTGTGTGCAGGTCACCAGCTCATAAGGCATTTCCTATATATTCATTTTACGTGGTTTGAAATTCTCTACTCAGGATCTTTGACACTCTGAAGAATTAGTAGTTTGTCAGTCTGCATGTTTGTTGAAGAACAGAGCATTAAAAAAAAAAAAAAAGGGCAAAAACCCCACAGCCCAGTAGTATCAGTTCTAGTGGTATGTCTGAGCTGTTACTCTCATGCTCCCTAATTTCATTAAAGTATTTGATTTTCTATTGAATTTACTTGATGGTAGTTTCTTAAGAGCTATACCACTGTGCCTACTTGTAAGGGGAAAAAATGGGTTCTAAATGAAGGGATTGTGAAATCGTAGCAGATTTAAAAACAGCCCCAGTTACAGCCAGAATATAGGTATAGTAGGTGTCATGCTGGGCTTGTCCTGGAGGCGTAGCGTGACACGGGGCTGTTCCTTGAGCCCTTCGAGCTGTCCGAGTAGACCCACTGCCTGCTGGTTCAACTTCCACTGCCCACTCGGGGGGAAACTAGATGCACGAGGCTTTTTCAGGTCAATCTTGTTGGTGTATCAGTACGTCAGTCACTCTCTTTCAAATCCAAACCAATCTCTTGGCTATCTTACCTGCTTTTAATACGGAGGCATAGGAGCGGCAAGGATTTGCAGTCAGCCTTCCTTTAGCCAACCTGCAGCGTATTGACTTTCCTGAGCTGGAGGCTGTGTAGGATTAGTCTGTGTTAATAACAGCATTATTGTATTTGTGAGCTAGACTTTCCTTTGAACTCGGTGACGCTTTGACCTCTGCAGCTCCCTCGCAACACGATTACCCATTCCAAATGCATCCTTACGGGATAGTTTCAGTGGGTTTTTTTTTTGGGGAAACTGTGCATTCCTGGTTCCCTTGCAGTAGCGGGTTTGTGTTCTTTGCCGTAGCTCTGGTTACGTCCCAGCTGGGAAGGGACAACTGGCTGAGATTGGTCGTGGTGCAGTGAAAGCTCCTTGGAGCTTCAGCTGATGTGGAATGTGAGTTAATCCGTTCCCAAAGCAGCCAACTATCTGCCTGGACTCTTGCACACAGAAACTAATTATTTCATACTTGGTGTGTAAATAATTGAGTAGAAGTCCAAGTATTCAGGTAGCTCAGACATAATGTGACAGAAAAAACTACTGATCAATTCTGACATGAACCCCCTGAAGGAAGTAACACTGGTCACTAGAAGTTCACACTTTACATCTTCCTCATTCTTCCTACCTGGATATTACTTGGAGCAAGTCAACCTCAAATCCCTGTACCAATCCACTTCTAAAAGGTAGTCAGTGTTTCCCTGTTTAATTACTTATTCTGCTCTCGATGCTTCCAAAATTGCCTCTCGTCCAGTTCCCGAGGCAAGTAGCATAAGGGGAGGCAGGTTTCACAGCTGCAGCCTCTTCCAGAAGGACTTGAAGAGGAAGGACCTTTGTTAAGTCTCAGCTCCGTAGAAGGACTTGAAGAGGAAGGACCTTGAAGTCTCAGCTCCGCGGGCGACAGACACGACCTTCCTCCAGTGCCAGTAGCATGGACAAGGATCAAGGTGAGACCCAGGCTACGCGCACGTCTCTACGCAAACATCAGGTTACTCGGCATCGAGGTTCGTCAACTACTGCCCTTGTGTGCAGTGCTGAATAAATTGTAATCTGCTTTCCTGTTCAAATCTGCAGAGATTAAAAAAAACAAGGGAGAAAGTGTATTTTTTTACATTCAAGTGGTTTGGTTCCAGAACGAAAGGGATTCTGTCGCAGGGTTAAAGGCCGCTCCCTTCTCGAGGAGAACAGTCTGTACCAGCACAAAGCCCAGCGCAGGCAGGTACTCGGTGTCTGGGCGCTGAGGTGGGTCGAGGGGAAGATGCTGAGGGCAGCTGGAGGAAGCGTAAGAACCGTTGGTTAAGAGAGGTGTGCCTGTTCTCGCTTCCTCCTGGTGTGGCACGCAGCCACAAGGGCAAGAAAATGTTGTGTTGTTCAAGATGAAGGAGTTATCACAGGTATGTGGTGCCGGGGGAATTGACAAGTGGGTAGTTTCTCAGCATTCGCTGTGCTGGGTGCTGAGAACTGCAGCTTCTGCCTTACTTCACTCTGAAAACAGCTGGCTGAGGGTTCTGGCACAGTTATCCCAGAGCTGCAATTTAAGCTCTTTGCAGTGGTCGCTTGGGAATCTTTGAATTAAATCCCTATTTCCTTGAAGTTGGGAGTCTTGAGCATTCTGTTAGTTTAGGCACCTCTCCAGCCGATGCCACACAGCATCCACCAATCCGCCGACATCTGTGGGATGGAACATGCATCTCTCCAAATGTGGCTGGCAGTTCCTGGCCAAATTCTGTGAACAGTGACGGCTCTGCTCCTCTTCACCTGTACATTAACGGGAGAAGCTTGACAGGCGGGAGAGAGACGGGCTGGGTGCTGGTTCTCGGGGTGTGAAAGCGCCTGACAGCGCGGGACAGAAGTGCTGCTGACAGCAAGCCAGCCGGAAGTGCCGTTAAGGGAGCTGAGGGATTGTTTCCTTCTTTTTTTTGGCACCAGTTTGCACTTGTTCACTTCATCGTCTGCAAGCACAGTTCCTGCAGTGTCAGGTGGATGTGACTGGGCACAATACTGTAGAAGAGCCTGGAAAAAGGGAAATGGGCTCCGTGTTTGCGGAAAACGCTAAGCAGTGCCACGTGAAGTCATTTTGTTGTTCCTCATGTGTGCTTAGCGGCCTCTGGCAGCCCCACTTGTCTCTCCGCAGAGAGGGCTTCTGCAGAGCGGAGAGGAACGGGGCTGCTTTTGTCTTCCTAGAACATCCTTCGTTTTAGGGCCATCTGCTGGGGCAGCACTCGGAAACCACTGGTTTCCTGGCAGAATGGTGGTGGTTCCTGTGAAAGGGTTGGAGACGACTGTCCGTACCCTCACCCTCACGCAGGAAACGGCCCGTCAGCAGCCAGGCAGGTCCCCATAGGAGCTCTTGGGGAACTTTGTCAGTTCGTTGGTGAAGAGCTTGCTTTCTGAACACGTCACTTCTTGAATTTCTAGTTGCTCTCCTAGTAAGCAGAGCTGAACGTAGAATAAATGGTGTCTAATCCTGCTCAGACATTGTTTCACTGTTTACCAAAGGGTCAGCTGCTCTTTTCTCAGTACCCCCAGCGTTCACTCTAGTGCACGCTGGGAGGCTGGAGAAGAGGCGCAGGCCTGGATTACGCCTGTCCTTCAATTCAGACGTAACCTCGAGTCCTCGTAGTCAGAAAACATGACCACCTCTGACCTGACTGGTTCCTCCAGCTGAAACCTGTGTGTAGTAGCTTCACCGTATTCACAGCACTGAGACCCATCTGTTTCTAGTTCTCATGGTTATGAAGATTACAAAACACAAATCCGCGTGCGTCCGGCTGAGCAAACAGCCGAGCTTAGGTTTACCTCAAAGAAATAAACCCCCACGTTGCTAGGTGGGTGCACGCGCAAGTCTCGGCTCTTAGGGTGAGTTGGGACTTGTGTTTTCTGAACATCTGCGGACTGCAACGTGGATCTCATGAGAACATCTCTCAGGTTACTCTTCTGATCTCTGTCTGGTCTCTGTAATTCCTTCTGCTCGGAGAGGTCATCTCACTGGCCAGAAGCTTTGAAGGGACAGTGCTTATGAAACCTCTGACTCGGAAGACAAAGTCTCACACGAAGCCTGCCCGCTCTGGCAGCACAGCCCAGCCCTGCCCCCCTCCCTCCTGGGGAAATAATCTGCTAGGCTTCCTGGCTCATGTTTTCTCAGTCGTGGACTCCACAGCTGTAAATCCCACGTGCAGGTGGAAGGTCATGCCTCCCGATCTGCATTTGCTCCGTCAGCAGGGAGTCGGCCAGAAAAGCTTTCCTTTTTCAGGTGAAAGTCTAGATTACTTCCGCAAATACGCAGCTGCTGGTAGCTCGGGGCGTGCCAGGCAGGTGGTGACCAAGAGGGAAAGATCCCTGCACGGGGCGAGCCAAGGAAGTCAGCGCTTGACGTGGTCGAAGAATAACCGAATGACCAACAAAGCTTGGAATTCTTGAGCTCATACGAGAAAAGCCGACGTCATTCCCGTTAGGCACGTGGAAGGGAGGCTCTGACCGAGATTTACCGCGAACTGCAGTGCAGACATCGCGTCTGTGCGGAGCTGGGCGCTGAGCCCTCAGCACCTCTGCCAATCAGTGTGGTGGGAAGTGGGAGGGCGGTTCAAGTCCTGTCTGACACTGTCCCCCTTCGCTGCCGAGCTCACGGTGTCTGCCTCTGGACTGGCCAGAAGTTTGGGAGTCTCTTGCCACCTCGGAAGCCTGCTTAAGGTCTGATGTAGCCAGGTCTGAAGTAACAAACTGCTGGGTGGCTTTTTTAATGGCAGAGCCTTTTATGCACCTCTGTTTATGAAGGGTGGCTACTCTTCCCATGTTTGACTTCCCAGAGTCTGGTTAAACTGAGTTCTGCTGGCCTGAAGGCTGTAGGTTGGTGCTTCAAATCATTCAGTTAGAGGGAGCGTCTGGTTTAAATCTTATTTTCCTTGTTTTGCCCACAGACATTACTAGTAATGATTTATAGTTCCACAAACATTAGAAATATCCTGACGTGCTGATACGTTCTTGGGTGGAAAAAGTGCCGCAGACCTGCAAGGGGAGAACCAAAAAAAGCACCTTTGCAGCATGTCCTGCACAACGACGGTCCCGAAGCCAAGGAAGAGCTGAATGGATGGGGATACAGAAACTGCAAGTAGCTACTATTGGAGTACTGTTTCATGCAAAATAAAAGGAGTATTTTCTCCGTTGTCCTGCCAGGTAACTCCTCCCTGAGGGTTGCCAGGCAACCCTTGTTTTTATTGTCCTTAAATGTGGGTGAGGAACTACCAAGCAAAGCAATTCGGCCTGGTGTACCCAACCCTGGCTGAGCTAAGCGGCATAAAAATCGGCCGTATTAGACCCTGGTTATCAGTATGCGGAAATCTGGACTTGGAGTCAGACAAAAGCAAGCCTGGAGCAACGAGGCTGTAGTACACAGAACTTGGTTAAAAGCCATGGCGAACAGAGCAGTAAGAGCTGGAAAGGGCTCGGATGAGGAGACACGACTGGGGCTGGCTGGATTCCCTCCAGATGCAATTCCACTCCGGCTGGTGGAAGAGAATCCCTGTACACGGGAGCTGGTTGCTGTTTGCCATCTCCAGCGCAGCGGGGAGCTCTGGGCAACGTTCCTCTCCTCTGTGCCTTGCTCTGTCTTGTCACTTGGGCATCTACCACCTGTTACTCAG